TCCGCTTCTCTCCCCCTTCTTCCCTTGCACTCCTTTGCTCTTTCCACCGCCTCTGCTTTCTCTTTTTCATCCTTTTCGGTCTCTTTCACGCTCCCCCTATCCCGCCCCTTCCCCCCCGTTTTACGCTGTGCACACATCCCCCTGAATGGACCAGCACCTATAAACCTGAAGCAATGAAAGGGACTTTACGCTTAAATAACTGTCCCTTTCAACAAGTGATAACTAGGATTAGATACATCAACTGAAACGTGTAAAATGTATCCATAGTGGGCTGTTTTGTTATGTGTTTCAAAGGTCTGCAGCTTGAAAAGGCAAAGCGAGGCGTGCCGACTAAGATAGAGGTATAATAAAAAAGCTTTTCTCTGTCTCTCGGTGCAAAGTATTTGATTTTTCAGAAGCTTTTATCATTTCAGGCACTTTATTATTCTTGAGATGAAAATGAGGGACTTCACGGATTTGAACAAAAAAGTCCTCTTTAGATGCAGTTTTGATCAATCCGTATTCATCTTTTTTTATATTAATCTTCCTCTCCCCCTCCCTTACAAAACTTGAAGAATTCAATCTGAAAACATGAAAAGTAACAGCTAATTAGCACATTGACTGGTTCCCAATGGTATTGGTATGATAAAAAGGGCACAGTTTCGCCTTAAAAAAATCCCAAAGAGAGACAGAGATTCTAATGAAGCGTGAATGGTAATTGTGTAGTAATGAACTAACAGAAAAAGACTGAGGACAAGCAGCTAAAGCCATATATTATTGGAACAAAAGAGATTTACACTTTCAAACTAAACACAACTGCATGCCAAGCTCCTTGGGAGAATACTGATGACACAGTCTTCTCTTTCCCCAAATCATTTTCATTAAATGGACATGAAAAGCTATTTATAAAGCTCAAGTTGTTTTTGTTAGGCCATTCACATGCTGGAGAAAAGAAGCAGATTCCATTATCAGGAGCATGAATGGAAGAGCTTGGATTATTTTCTTCCTCTTTTAAAAAAAATATTAATAGCTTGTTTGTCTAATTAATTTTTTTTAAAATTGTTGCCCTCCACATCCTAACACTTTTCAGTTATAAGACTGAGATTTCAATAGCCTGAGCCTTTTTTGTTTTTAGCTTTCTTAATCAGTGTAAAGTTGATTACATTTTAATATCCATTCTTGGCTAATATCTATAGATAAATATGCGAGATCGGAGCCTTAAGAACGAAATGATTAATATACGCTCTGGTTGTAAGGCGATAAGATTTGCATTTTAATGTAACAGTTACAGGGAGAAGGGGGTAGGTAATATTTAGTAAGTATGACACTGAAGATATAAGCTAGGCAATGGAAAAGTGAATGAATGGATTTTCGTCGTAGTTTTGATTTGTTCTGCTTACCGGCACAGATCGTACAGTATTTGTAAAGTTTCTAATGGACAGGAATTTGGGGGTATGTGCCTTTTTTTCCACACTGAATATCCCAAACAAGGGAACGCTCCATGTGGTCTTGTGAAAATACTGAAACACTGAATGACCCTTAATGGGAAATTAGCCCATGGCTGGTAAATGTCTATCAGCAGCATGGTAAAGTCAGCGCTAGGTCTGTGTGTGGCTGCCCATAGGGAGCTGACCAAATTGGTCATGGTGCTGAAACTTTTGTTGGGGATCACCGGCAGAGAGCACTGACTCTGTGGGAAAACCGCAGCCATGAAGAGGATGCCAACAGCTTCTCTGTGAGAAGGGAACCGCCTCAAATTTGGACCATGACAATTCCGGCTAATTTGTAGATCAGGGGAGAATTGGTACGAAATGTCAAGCAGTCACCGCTTGTGCTAAATAGGGCATCAAATTGGCGCGACTGATTCTTGAATGTTGTTCTCAGCCCAACCTCTGAACTAGAGCATAACCCCCAAGGGTGGACGGAGAAATATTACTGGGATATGCCTGGAAGAAGTAAGGGGAGGGGGTGGGGATGGAGGAGAGCGATCGGATAGGCGTCAGGAGGGGGCAGGAGGCGGAGCTTTAAGACCTACCTGGGAAATAAGATGATCTGATAAATGGCTGGAAGGATCCTTCAAAGTATGGGAAGGAGAATGTCTTTGGAGGGACGCTCGGAAGCAACGCAGGGGAGGTCTCTGGCAAAACATAAAAACACGAACAAATGAAAAAAAGGGTATTTACCGTTCCTCCGACTCCACCAGCCCCAGGAAGAGAGCAGTGGAGATGATAAAGTAGCCGCGCAATACAACATTTCGTCCCTAAAGCAGATGCCGGCGGATCAAATGAATCTGCCTGGTTTTACTTTATTTTTGTTTAATAATCCGGGGCCTGGAGGGTCTTGTTTTGAATGGATACTCACGCGGCAGAGAGAGGGTCCCGAGGCATCGTTTATCAGACTCTACAACCCACCCAACCAATCATTCCCCTCTCCAAAAATGGAGAGGTACCCTCATCATTTGTGCCAGCATTCAGGAGGCAATGCGGCGGGACGCCTCCCGTTTCTCGTCAATGAATGCTCGGCAGAAGGTCTCTGCTTCTCGATTCCAGGTCGCTCCCTCCCTTCATCCCTCCCTCCCCCTCCGTCAAACACCCAGCTGACGATTTCTCCAGCAATGGCAATGATTTATAGGGAGAAATCACACCCCCCCCCCAACGTACATAATCATTTTCCGACTGGAAAACAGTGCGCAGGAGAGAGCTCCGGCCAGTCCCCTTGACACACTCAACCCAGGAGTTGGGCGCTTACCTGCTCTAGTGGTGGACGAGAGGATGGCGTTGACCCCAAACTTCAGGAAAGTGGAGTCGTTACTGGAGGAGACTGAGGTCTGCGGGGAACAGACCCTCCTGGCGCTGGAGGTGTTGCCGTTGACGAGCTCTGAGGTCACCGTGTCTGTCCTGGTGGTGCTGGCCCCGGAGGTTGGAGGGGACATGCTAGGCGAAGGGCCGCTCCTAGGCAGGTAGCTGGCAGGCCTGCTGATCCTGATCAGATCTTCCACCAAGAAGCTGGAATGGCTCGAAAAGGCTGACTGCAGAGACTGAGGCAAAGTTAAAGTAGGAGTTGGCCGCAGGAGACTCGGGTACACCGCCGGAGGAGCTATGAGACTTGGGAACATCATGGCAGAGGCTGAGCAAATACTAGCCCGGGCCCAAGGAACTGGTTTGGGTGTGTTTTTAAAATCTGATTTGCAAACCTCTTTAGTAAAGATCCAGCTAGTAAGTCTGGCAGGGTTCTCTCTGCCCTTCCTCCTGCATGATGGGTTTTATAGTGGTCAGCCCCGTTAAAGCTCTTTCAGAAGTGACAGCTCGAACAAAGGGGTTCAACAAAGTTCTCCACTTGAGCTTCATTCATCGAGAGTTCTGGGCTTCCTGATTGGTCCAGGGGTGCAATTTATGATTGGATTAGACTTCATAAACAAGCAGTGCACAATGGCCCTGCAACAAAGAACGTGTAGTCATCAATTTTGCATATTGACCGCCTCTTTGGAATACATTTCTCCAAAGGCTCCCAGCAGGGTTTTGTTCAGAAGCAACACACACAGGCTAATTAAATGCCTATTTAAAAGTTTCAAATGACATCTTGCCTCATAGAAAAAGAATTATTTAAAGAAAGCACTAAATTTATTTGCTGCTCCCCTGCCGAGGTTAGGAAATAAATCAATAAATATTCATGCAAACTTAACTTCAGGCTGTCAAAAAAATCTCCATTTTTGAATAATGGAAGATACAAATTAGCAAACATAAAATTAAACTCTGCTGACGAAAAGATCCTGATATCGGATCTGATTGTCTTCTGACTGCGCTATTGGTATGCAGTGAAATTTGCAAAGTATACTGTACATAAAGGACAAGCTTTTCTTACCACAAAATCAATCCCACAGACATTTTGAAAGAATATAAACTGATCTGAACGGTTGCATTTGTTTTTTTTTAAACTCTGAGGGTGATTGGCTGGTAAATAAGTAATTGTATGTGTTCAAACAGGTTGGCAAATAAACGTCACTGTAATAGTTATTTTAGTTCACAAGGCACTATGAGGAAATATGAAAATCAAAAAATTGGAAAGACCTATAAAACTCTTTAGTAACACAACAAACAGCGGAGGTTTTAAATCCTCTGGTAGGGTTTATCTAATCTATTTTAATAACAGTAGAAATAAACGTTATTTGAAAGTAAAGTCGAGTAAAAAATCTAAAGTATTGATCCATATTGCTATATAAATATTCTTTGAGTGAATTCCATTTTTTGACAACTGCATTTTAGCTTGTATCTTCCTCACCTCCCTCCCCAGTCACATTCAATGGCTTTTTATAACTGTCTGAAAGTATTCTTGTGTCTCTCAAACAGAAAGACCACCATTTTCGCTCAGAACAAAATAATATTTGAAAGGAAATAGTTTAAACGTGATTTTCTGTCAGTCTCTTAATTGCAAATATGGAAATACATGAAATCATAGCTAAGTTTCTTTGGGGTAGGTTGATGAAAGAGTCTATTGAAAGTTGTTTTACCTGATTTCTCTGTTAAAGAATATAACAGATGTGTTAAATGTTTTAAAGTACCCTATTCAGGTCTTTGCTGTTGCTGAACCTTTGCAAGCAGAAGTGTGCAGCCTCAGCCATGCAGCCTTTATCCTATTAACCATGAACTAACTGTCACCTTCAGCTGTTTTCTCTCTTTACTTTTTAACACAAAGCTTTCTCAAAAATCTTATTAACCAGCTTTATTTCTCTCGATGGTTTTTGTCCGTGTGTTTTGTGTTGATTATCTCCATGTCGATGCTTTAACCATTCAATAAAAGTGCATCTGCGATTTATATCACATTAGGGAAGAAAGAAAGTCTGTTAAACCTCTCCCTTGATTCAAATCAAACAGTTATTTATTAGACGGGACGGAATTAGCCATCGAAATGATGTGATGCTGACAAGTTTTCCCCAATGCTATTCCAAGGCGCCAACAACCTATTGTAAGAAGAGTGTGTGGGGATTCGGAAGATCTTCAGTATTAGTTTTGACAACTTTTTAAAAAAATAGCGTTGCCGTTTTGCAGAAGGAAGAAAGAAAACCCCAGCAAGATAAGATCAAATGAAGTCCAGTTTCGAAACACCTGCACTTGGACGCTGGCATAGTTTACGCCCTACTCCAAGTCACAGTGGGGAGGCTTAGTCTGTCGGGACCGCATCCTGTTCTGTTTTTTGCATTTACCTCTTTTTAGTGCCACACGCTTTTCCCCTCCGGGCACGGCGAGCCCATGCCGTATGCATGACTGCTCTCAAGGTGTTACTTTCAGGCAAGTGGAACAGTAGCGAATAAAACAAACAGACCTTTGCAAAAAAAAAAATCCCCCCCCTCACTTCCAATACTCTGCATTTCCCAGAAGAATTTCAGTGTCTAGAAGAGCAGCCCAGGCGGATCTGAGAACACATAGTTTTTACAGTCATTATGTTCCATTGAGATGATTTACTCCTTTCTTTACATATACATTGGGGACATTCTGCCTCACTATAGACCAACTGCTGCTAATTTCTCTGGTTTTTAAAGAAGGGGCTGACATTTTCTGGAAGGTTGGGTCAAGCGCATGCTGAGGCACACGTGGACGCAGTTCCTTGGGAGATGTCTTAGCACACTCTTAAAGAATTCCTTAAGCACCAAGGCAAAAGGGACTAGACATCTATTGAAAGGCAAGATAGACCAAAAGAAACCAAGAAATCGGACGAAAGGATCTTATTTTAAGTGATCTCCTTTGGAAGTTTCTTTTCAAAGTCGGTGATCATTTAAGAGAAGGGAATTCTAATGGCTGGAGATAAAACCTGTGACTAATGCCGTTTGACCTATGCTCATGTGGTTTTGTGCTTCCTGCCATTCATTTTAATGTCGTTATCTTCAAATTTATTTCTTAAAAGTCACTCACGTTCTTTGTCGCCCCCTCTTAGTTTAAAAAATGGAAGGGGGGGGGGGACTTTGAAGTCTGCGTGTGTCCGTCCCCGTCTGGTAATCCGCATGGAAATGTCCGGGAGAGCCAGAACTTTGCTGTTTGCTTTACTTCATATCTAGAATTTTGTTTGTGTCAATTAGATCATTTCCTCCCGTGTAGTATCATTTTGTTCACTGTCACTCCGTGCCAGTCATATTTACAAGGTCTCAATCCTAGTGGCACAATAGGCAGGAACTAACTTTTAAAGGCAGGGACCAGGGAGTGGGAGCAACAGAGCATCATGATCGTGTGGTTTGTTTTTGTAGGTCCGCGTAAAAAGAGAGCTGCGGAAGGGTTTTGCTGAAAGCTCTGCAACGTTTTAGTCAACTGCCTGCCAAGAGATTTGCCCAGCTTGCAAATCATAATCACGAATCCATTTCAGAGCAGTTCTCATACAGTACTTTTATTCATGAAAATGGAGATCTCAACAGTATTTCCGAGGTTGTGTGTCTCGTACACTTCTTTACTGTCTTTCCTACCCGCCTTGGGCTTGTAGATCAATTGCAAAACAATAAAAGAATGAAACATTCTAATTTTATTGTAATGAACCAGGAAAAAAAACCAGTCACTTTAACTTAATATACAGTGGAATACACATGGGGCATCTTTAAACCCCTCTCCAAGTTCAATGAACTCTTTTACACGTGCAGCGATCAAAGGAGACAGGTTTGTTAGCCATCGGGTTGCTCTATGGCTATTTATTGGTTTTGATTTGCTAAACATTTTTTTTACAAGCACGTAAACTCCTGAAACTCTTTGTAACGCTCTCAAATGCAGCTGAGAGACCAGGTAGTGCGCTGGCTGGAGCTCCCCTGCTGCTGCTGCTGCAGAGCGCGGAAGGCTCTGTATACTATGGACACTATTGACTTGTTCTGAAAAACTATAGAGGAGAGAGATCCGCGGCTTTTATTTTTTCCTGGGGGGAGGGCAAGAGGGGGTGCGCGATCTCTCGAGTTAATGCGTTTCCAAGCTCTTTAATGATGCTTATCCACCTCGTTGAGAGCTTAAATGGAGGCTGTTGGGGCGAAGCTGCATTAAGACACCTAAGGCGTTCACCTTTAGAATTCAACACAAGGAACAGTAACTGTTGGTTCGTTCAAAGCTTTTCTAGATCCCCCTTTTTCTTGAAAATCCTTCTATTGTGCCAATCAAGCAGATGGTTTGCAGGAAATATAGCTTGGCCCCAGTGACCGAAACTAATTTTAATTAGCTTTCCAAGCCTGGCACGTTTGTTTTGCTCTTACAAAATAGCTAAAAAACAGCTGGCAAGGGTGAATTAAACCCATTAAAGACACATTTATAAGAAATTATATTCACATAGGTTGCCTGAACCCCCTCCCCCCCAGAGGGGAGAGAGGAGCGTATTGAAATGAAAATGTCCCCGAACACACTGCCCTCCTTAACATCGCTTGAAAGTCTCAAAACATTTTACTAAATAGATTAACTTGACTATTGTTTTGCATCACATTTATCAGCTTCATTAAGTGAATAGCTGAACAAATATATTACGCATGCATGAAAAGCTCTTTTTGGGGCTGCCTTATTGTGTCCTCAGCCCTGACAGGTGGTTAACTGTGTTCCCCTTCCCCCCGCCTCCTGCGTAAAGAAAGAGGGGATCTTGGATAGAGCGCACAACCCAGACTTGGCAGAGAGACCTAGAGGGGAGAGCTACTTTCTTCTCCCCCACCATTCATTCTAGCCAGCCCAGAGAGCACACATTCTCAAATGGAACCATATGATCTGATCATGTCAAAAGTAATTAACTTTAGTTTTGCCTTTGTGTCTTGCTTGCGCTTTACTAACGCATTCCAAGCCTGTTTAATTTCTTTTCTTTCAGCTTTGGATCACTTTGTCGTCTTTATCTGTTTATCTTTTTCTCACCTGCCCCTTTGTTGATCCCCCCCCCCCCCTCTGCCCCCTACTGTGCCCCCCC